AAACAAATTATAAAATACTTTAACACTCATATTTAGAAAACAAAAAGAGAAAAAGAAAAGAAACAAGAAAAAGGAGGAAAAAAAGAAAAAAAAATCTTAAACTTTAAATATAAATTATTCAAAAACTAAATAATATTTTTATATCATATTTATATTGTATAAAATTTATCCATCTTTTCCATACCAAGAGGTACTTCTCTTGCGATTGATCTTTCAAGAAAGCCGAAATCTTTGCCATTTCCGCTAAGTAGGAAACTTTAAGAAACCATTCTTGCAAAGTAGGCAAAGATTCCTTCTTCCAACATTGCCCTACTAACAACCTAGCCGCTGTAATTAAATTTAACATTAATATAATTTCTCTACTGTCACAATCAGAAACAATACCCAGCAAAAACAATTGTGGAGTAAATGTTATCCTTCTTTTAAAAATTCTTTGAATATTCCACCATATCTTAATCCAAAAAGCTTTTATATTTTTACATGACCACCAAATATGATAATAACTAGCATCCAAGCAACCACATCTCCAACATTTAGGCTGCAAGTTTGGATACATACGAGATATTTTTTGTGGATCAAGGTGCCATCTATAAAACATTTTATAAAAGTTTTTCCGTAAGTTTTGGGCTTGTGTGAATTTAACTTTCCTCACCCAAATAGTCTCCCAAGTATCTAATGGAACCGATTCATCAAAGTTTTGTGCCCATTTAACCATACAATCTTTAACTAGTTCTGCTTCTGAATCCAATTGCACTAACACCCCATAAATTCTTTTAATATGGGTTCGTCTTTGATCTTTTATTTGTTTTAACAAATTCTCATCCTCTCTGAGCAAACCCACATTGCAATCTATCTTCCACCTTTCCAATAGTTGTCTATACTGAAACCATGAATAAATAATATTTTCTTGTATTAAGTCTTCCATAGATTTTAGTTGCCAATTTTTGCCATCCCATCTAAGTAATTGTGTATAAGAAATACTATCCATCTTCTCTCCTTATCCCTTCTATCGCATGCCATGAGATAGCCCATAATGGAATTCTAGAATCACTTCTATAATATTTTTTCCAAACCCGAAGTAAAGAGATTCTTAAAATGTGAGACTTAAAAACCCTATCAACCTTTTTATTAAAAGTTAAATAGGCATGCCATCCAAAAAGTAAATCCCATCCCTCCAGGAGGAGTACATCTACATTTGTTAAGTTAACCCAATCACTAATTAATGTTAACACCACAGCATCATAATACAATTTCAGGTTCAGTACCTTGAGTCCACCTCTCTCACGAATATCTTGTATAATTTTAAGTTTTACTCTTGGTTTTTTTCCCTGCCCAAATAAATTTATTGATACCTTTCTGCCATTCATTTAAGTTAGCCTCATTCTTTAAGATAGGTATCATTTGAAATAAAAAAAGAAACTTTGGCAAAACATTCATTTTAATTGCTGCAATTCTCCCCAATAGGGATAATTGCAGCATCTTCCAATTTTCCAAATCCTTTTGTATTTTAACCCACAGCCTTTCATAATTATTTTTGTACAATTTTGCATTGGAAGCAGATAAAATAACCCCCAGATATTTTACCTTATTAACAACCTCAAAATCTGTCAGCCTAACTAGAGTCTCCTTATCCAAATTGGTCATGTTTTTAGGCAATATTTTAGTCTTATTATTATTAATTTTAAAACCCAAAACTTGTCCATACTGATGTATCAATTGTAACAACTCCATTACAGAATAAGTTGGTTGGGATAAAGTAACAACCAAATCATCTGCAAAAGCCCTTAATTTATATTCTTTTTTATTGACTTCTATTCCTTTTATTTTCTGTGATTCCGAATTTTAATTAGCAAAATTTCCAAAGTTAAAACAAACAGTAATGGTGACAGTGGACAACCCTGTCTAGTCCCCTTCTCAATTGAAAACACCTCTGATAAACCTCCATTAACTATAAGTTGTGCCGTTTATTTTTGATAAATAACATGAAGAGCTTGTAAAATTTTTTCTCCAAAATTCATTTCCTCAATTAATCTTAACATAAATTGCCAATTTAACTGATCAAAAGCTTTTTCAGCATCTAAAAATATCAATCCTGCAGAAACTTGGTTGTTTTTATCCAAATATTCTATTAAATTAATAATTTGTCTAACATTATTCTTCATATACCTTCCAGTTATAAAACCTGTTTGATCCATATGTATTAATTGATTCAACACCCTCATAAGTCTATTAGCTAAAATTTTTGAAAAAATCTTATAATCTACATTCAAGAGAGATATGGGTCTATAATTTTTTGGTAAAGTGAGATCTTGGTCTTCTTTTGGGATCAAAGATATGAAGGCTCTGCCCCATGACAAGGGGGTCTATGAACCCTGTAATATATTGTTAAAAAGTTCCCTTAAAGGTTGTATCAATTCTTCTGCCAAGGTTTTACAATAAATAGATGTCAGTCCATCAGTACCCGGTGCTTTACCTAATTTTAATTCTTTAATTACCATCTCAATTTCCTCGATGGTAATAAAATCATTAATTTCTTGTTTCTGATCTTCTGTTAATTTAGGGAAATGAGCATCTTGTAAATATTTAGCTATATCTGAAGCCTGTACTTTTGTACCCATATATAATTTTTTATAATAATCTAAAAAAGATTTCTTAATCAACTCCTTCTGATATACCAATTTACCATTATAATTTATTTTATCTATAGTTCTCAGCATCTGCTTCTTTCGCAATTGATAAGCCAACCATCTCCCTGGTTTATTAGCATTGCAAAATGTATTATGTTTCATGTACAATAAGTTGGTTGCAGTTTGATCAGCCATCAACATGTTAAATTGTGATTTAAGCAATTTTATAGATTCTTTAATCTTCTCATCTATAGAATTCAAAATTAAGGCTTTTTCTTTTAATTTAATCTCATCTTCCAACTCCTTATGTTTCTGCACCTGCTTCTGTCTATAAACCTTATTCATTTGTATCAAGACCCCCCGCATGTAAGCTTTACCAGCATCCCAAACCATTGACATTGAAGTTTCCTTATACATATTTAAAGCAAAATATTCCTTTAATTGCTCCTTTAATTTCTGAACATTCTTTTCTTGTCTAAATAAATTTTCATTCATCCTCCAAGATCTCCTCTCCTCTTTTTCATGAATCAATTCCATCCAGACTGGACTATGATCCGTCAATGTCCTAGGAAAAATCTTAACATTCTTTACTCTAAAATATAAATCCGTTGTAATAAAAAAAAATCAATTCTTGAAAAAGATTGATGTCTGTCTGAAAAGAAGGTAAAGTCTCTCTCCTCCAAATTGTGTTCACGCCAATAATCTCGCAACTCCCAGTCCTCTTTCAAATCAAAAAAAGCCTTAGGTAATTTAGCCTGTTTAAAAGAGATAGAAGGTCCTTTTTTATCTCTTTGTGTATCTAAAACACCATTCCAATCTCCCATTAAAATAACAGATCTGTAGTCCAGCAAAATTAATTTTTGATGTAACAGTCTATAAAATTGTTCCTGTTGTTGGTTTGGTGCATACAAATCTACTATAAGTACTTTCTTACCATACAGTCCCACTTCAATCATAACATATCTCCCTTGGGGATCAGAATCTACTAAACAAGCTGATAAATTTTGCTTGACATAAATAACTACACCCCCTTTTTTCCCAAGAGCAAAAGATGCAAAATGTGATCCCAATCAAGTATTAAGTAAATATTTTTGATCCTTAAAAATAATATGTGTTTCCTGCAAGCAGATAATATCATTGTTATGTTGCTTTAAGTAGTGAAATATTTTCTTTCTCTTTTGAGGGGAATTGAGACCAATAGCATTCCATGTCAGGAGCTTTACCATCTCCCTTGACCAAAAGCCTAGAGAAGACTGCTTGAAGATCTGCCATTGAGGAATGTACCGCAGAACTCTTGGGTTTTCTCCTCCCACAGGCTCAGAAACAGATTCTTGTAAAACTTCTTTCTTCTGTTGTTCCTTTTCCTTACATCTGTGGGCTGCCCGGGTCATTCTTTGCTCTTTCATCTCTGCATGTTGCAACCAGTCAGCCTGTAATTTTCCAGCTTTCATCAGTACTACTACTTCTGCCTCCTTGCCATCCAAAACTTTCAACATCACAGGTGGTGATGAGCGTGCTCCCAGGACTGACATATAAAACTCTTTGGCTTTAGGAACAGTATTAAGTCTATAGTGCGTCCCCGCATGGTTTTTGCTTAAAAGATGGTTTGAGGTTGGACTGTAGTCATTTGCATGCACATAGAATCTAGATTCTGAGAGTAAAAGAAATAAGGAAATCATGACATGCTAAGTACTTTGTACTCTTATTTTTATTTTTTGGAATCATTTGTTTCCCTTTATCTTTTACTATTTTTCTCTCTTACAATTTTCTGTTTCTTTTGCTTTCAATCATTTTAATTCATTTTTAAGCAGTATAATTTTTTCTGCAATAGTTCCACATACATCTATATGTATTTATTTGTTTGAATAAATTATTGATGGGTTGTAAATAATGGAAATAATAATAATAGAAACAATCCCGTTTTCTATGCTGCTTAGCCTCCATATTTCCACTTGTATTGTATCTTCATCCAGCATATTTTGACGTTGTTTTTAAGTTGAAGTGGTCATACTGCACCCAGTTGCCAATGTTTAAGCTTTATTCAAAACGATCCCAATGAAACTTGAAGAAAAAACACTATGTCCCTTCCAGTTCTGTTATTCTGTTATTCATGGGAAAATGTTGGCTGAACAGTTATTCATTTGGTAGTAATTCGATTCCATTTATTTATATTTATGTATTTATTTATCAGTCATATTTATAGTAAAATATTTATTCCTGAAGGTTCTGGTAGATATTTTTACAGGCATGAAGATTTTACAATTCCTCCTATAGATGATTTGTACACATCTATCTTATAAGGTGGATTTTCGTCTTGTAAGTACAAAGATGTGAAACTGGTTTGCTTATGCAAGGGCAGATCAAATTACTGAGCAGGAGACAGAAAACAAGGGCAAAATTCTAAAGGACTTTATTGTACAGATGATTCAGTAGAAAGAGTTCCTTTGAAATATACTGGAATCATTTCAGCTTACAAAGTTCCTTATTGTTTTTACTTAAAACTGCTTACTAAAAGGAAATGGATTGGACGGGAGCAATTTTAACATTACTACTATTTATTCTTGCAATTATGTTCCGTTTCAACAAGGGCAGTTCCTGGAATAACAGCGTCTCCAATCTTCCCCCGGGACCCAGGACCATACCCATTCTGGGAAATCTACACATGATGGATCTGAAGAAGCCTTACAAAACAATGATGGAGGTAAAGCCTGATGATTAACATACAAAAATATTTTTTTCCACATATTGTTGGGGATGGGACAAAATCTTGGTAGCTTGTTCAGGTAAGTCTGGGGTGCTCTGAGGGCTACATATGGTAGAATAGATTTTGTAAGACTTGCAATATGTATTTTGTAGTAACGTTGCACTGGCTTACTAAACTGGGTTTTCTTGTGTTTTAATTTGCCTTAGTTCTCTTATTTCTCTCTCTTTCAAATGTATTGCTAATAATTGGCCATAAGCTCAACCTAGCAAAAAAAAGAAAAAATGTAAATAGCCTTTCTTTCAGAAACTTGGACCTTGTGGAAGTGCTTGAGAGATAAAACAGTTTTATTTTCAGCTAACAAACAAAACAAGCATTCATTAGGAAAGTGCTGTGTATGTATCTTACCCATATCCATTCTGACATTTTTTTCCCTTGCAAGTAAAATAAACTTTATTGTCAATGTTTCTCCCAAAGGTGCTGTTTCAGGAGGCAACTGGACCTTCTTGTTTTTCCTGCCTCCTAAAAAAGCACCTTTGGGACAACCATGATCTTGATGACTGAGAACCTCCGTAGACACTTGACAATGTTTATTTTACTTTTATTCAAAATACAATGCTCTTTTCAATACTTCTGCTTACATATTATTGGATGTCTAATTTTTCCATGATGTAACTGGGCAGATGATTTTCAGTAAACCAATTATCTTTTACTCTGAAGTAGCTTTTACTCTGAAGTAGCTTTTACTCTGAAGTTTGCTGTGCAAACTATAAAAGTAAGTGTAAGCCTTTGTTCCAGGTTCATTTCTCAAAAGGGAATCCTTGTTAATTGAAACATTTCAAATAAATCATAAATTATTTTTTAAAAGTGGAAACTTCAAGGGACAAACCTCCACCGGTCTGGAAATGACATTTAGTGTTGTGTGTATCTTTGTGTGAAGGTTGAGTTGTTTCCAAGACATGGAGGGCGGGGAAACCCTCTGATAATAAACAAAAAGGCTTTATTCAAAAAGATTTGGAAAATGGAGCTCATTGATTTGTCTTCCCTGAAATAATAACGATACAGCAATAATAATTATTTTGCCTGAAGAAAAAATGGAATGAAATACCAAAGGTGCTTTTTCAGGAAGTAACTGGACTTCCTTGTTTTTCTCTCAAGATGTTTCTACGAAGCAACAAGTCAGGGCCCTCTAGGCGGTCCTGGATTTCTGCTGCCCCTGGACCCCCTCATTAGGGGAACTAGCAAAACCCCTAATTCAGCTGACAGCCAAAGATATGCCAGATCCCATCTCATGGACAAAGCCATTAGATCAGACTTTCCACAATGTAAAACAAACATTGACTTCAGACCCTGCCCTTGAAGGAGCATGACATCTGCTAAAAGACAAAGGGCCCAGGTTTGGAGTGCCAAATGTCTTGGACATGGACTGGGGAACACAAGCCATCTTAAACCACACAAAGCTAAGGGATTTCCCACTCACAGCCACATACTCCACTATCTTTGACAGGGGAACCAGCACCAACCTCAAGGATGAGAGTATGAATACCCTAGGCATGGCAACAGTCACCAACATGGCTGCATGCTTCAGGATGCAACCACACTCAAACTCTCCCATTCTTATACAGCCACATTAAGCTTCCCCTTGGATGGTTTTTGTTATGTGGGGGTCAAAACCTATTCCTAACTACCAGCAAACTCCACCAGGGACGACCAGGGGACCATGCACCTAGCCATCCTCAAGCCTTCATTACAGAGACAACGGAGGAGGGATCTGAAAACCTTAACATCGTATTGTGACTCCCACACACCTCTATTCACTAAAACCAAGTATACAGCACTGGTAATGTCATTGGTTGAAGTCTGGGCAACCGCCCTGGGCAATTCCAGAAACATTAACAGTCTAGCCTGTACTCTGGTTAAAAACTTAAATTCAACCTCCCCAAGCCCTAGATGCTTTAAACAGAGAACTGAGGCAGGTCAGGGAAGCCACACTGGAAAACAGAGCAGCCATTAATTATCTGTTGCTAAGACATAACCATGCAAAGAATGTGCTGTTTTACTCTGACCAAATGTTCAGAACTCATAAAGAGTGACATTAGGCACCTAAAAGAACTAACACAAGACATTAGCTACAATAAATTTCCCTTCAATCTGTCTGGACACGTTTCACGGCTACTGGACTTTCATTGGCTAAAAATCATCATTTTAGGAGCTGCCACATTAGCCATTGTAGATCTTCTCCTCTGCTGCCTCTGTCAATGCATTTCCCCATGCCTCAGCTGTCAAAGAACCTGCCTCTCTACCATCCCCAAACCCAACAAGAAAGGAAACCAGGTCTCTTTGTTGATGACCCAGATAGACAGCAGGAACCAAATTTATGTACAGGACCTGAGTTGTGCAGGATACATATATTTAGGAAAATATATGTTTCAGCACAAAAAGGGGGAATTGTGGAGAGAATCATAACCCTCCGCCCTATTCCATGTCCTCAGGAAAGGAACTAAAACAATTAACAAAAGCTTTAAAGAAAAAGAGCCATTCATGAAGGCTGGGAAACAGAAAAATAAACTCTACCTCTTAGCTAAGCATAATAGCCTCAGGTGAACTGATAAGAGCATTTCAGAAATGGATACATTGTGTCTGTTAAAGCAGGGATAGGCAACCTTGGCTCTTTATGACTCATGGAATTCAGCTCCCAGAATTCCTGAGCCATCTGGAGTCAAGTCCACGAGTCATAAAAGAGCCAAGGTTGCCTTCCCAGTGTTAAAGGAAAACTGCAAGAATGTAGCAAGAAGCAGCTTCCACACTTCAGACTAAGGCAAACAGAATTGACAGGATTAAACTAGTAAAACATAAAAACTTACTAAATTTACATTCTCCTCCCTTCCCCAATGCTGGATTTGTCCCCTTCCACTACCCAGAAAACAGGACAGAAACAATCACATTGTTAAACTAATCAAATACTCCATCAGGCATCTCAATCACAAAAGCCCTGAAGAGTATAAAAATCATCCTGCTCATCCTTAGACTCTGCCAGATGACCCCGTAACCCACTGCTGCTGTCACTGCAATTCTCTGGCTTCTGAAATAAACCTCCTTTCCCACAGTTTGCTTCCCGGTTTCTTGTTTTGTTCATCAGCACCAATCACATCATCCTGGCTGGAAGGAATAAACTGGAGATTTTTTTTTCTTCCCACAGTCTTGATTTCTGATGTTTTGGAAAATAGGTTGACCCCCTCTTCTTTTTTTTTATTTTGATTGTTATGTTTGGGATTTTTATTTGCTATTTCATCCAACAGGTCCATTATTTGCTACACTGTGCAATACTTGCATCCACTTTTGTATTTCTCCTACTCGTAGCAAAGATGAGAGCTTTGCTTCCTTGCGCAGTCTGGTTCCTAACAGGCATGGAATGGTACCAACTTTTTCTTACAGCTTACAGGATTCCTGATTTTTAGATTCAATCATAAGAATATATTTTAACTTCTCTCCTTAAAGAATTAACACAATCACCTTCAAAAATTACTGTGGGCATCATTGGAAAATTTCTGTGTGATCTCTTGAACAAGATGTCAGAAACTCAGTTTCTCTTTTATAAAAGTCTACTATGTATCCAGCACTACTGCACGTTCGAGGCACCTTTCCAAATTGTGGAATGGAAGCGTATCCCTTTTGGAGATTTCATCTTCATAGTATGTCCTGCACAAATGACTCTTTTAAAACATATTAAAAACCCTTTTTTCCAGTTTGACATACATTTCTAGTGTGAGAGGATCTTTTATTATGTAAGAATGTTTTAATTTATATTAATTAGATCATATAAAAATTATAAAGAAGAATATACTATCACAATTTTCAATAGAACAGAAAAATGAAATAACATCATTTCCACTTTTGAATTTTGACTCATAGTTTCTTAAACAATCTTCTAAATATGTAAGTCTAATTATTTATCAAAATGGCCTCTTGTTTTCCTTTTGCTGAATTCCAGTGGTCAAAAGAATACGGTCCCGTTTTTCGCATCAGACTGGGATTCCAGGAGATGGTGGTGCTGACTGGATATGAGACGGTGAAAGAGGCTCTCGTGAACCAGGGAGATGCATTTGCAGAGAGAGCCTCTGTCCCTTTCTTTGAGGATGTTACAAAGGGCTTTGGTGAGTTGTTTCATTTTGGATTGTAGCTGGCATTCCTTGCAGATGTGCAATCAGTGCCATGGAGACATGTTTATATGTAGTAACATTAAAGAACTAGGAAACTTGTGGAAATCCAGTTCAGAAAGTGACCCAGATAAAATCTTTCCTTAACCATTTTGAGTACATCTAGTCATCAGTAGGGGAAATTGGAGAATAAAAAAATAAGACAACCTTGCAATAGCAACATGAGTCATACACAGACACAAAGCCACAACAGGTTTGGTTCTGCTTTTTTTTGCAGATTTGGGGTGTGGAAGGTTTTGGTGTTTTCTCTGCATTTTTCCATACTGTATATGCCTCCTCATATATGTAGTTTTGCCTTTTGTTACACTTGCAGAAGAGCTGCCACTCCCTTTTTTGAAGAAGTAATAAACGGATTTTGTGAATTACTTCATTCTGGATCATAGTCAACAATCCTTTATGATGAGTATCATATAGAAATTTTCACCTGAGGTTTTCACCACCAGAACCTCAAACCAGGATGAAAATCCAGGTGAAATCTTTCTTGTGCCACTGTGACTTAAAACCCTCAGTGCCGATAAAGGGAACTGGAGGTACAAATCTTTTCTTTTTGAAATGTCTTTGCCAGTTTCTGGCAAATATATATTTGCCATTAATACATATATTTTCCATTGCTCATGGTGCATTCCAACATAAAATTATATGATGCACTGCATGGAAATGCACTGCACAGAAGCCATTACAAACCTATATACTTATTATTCTGTGTCAACACACACAGAAAGACACATATAATGATAATATTAGCCACAGTGTTGGAAGTGTGTGGTCTGAGTAAGGAACTATTAATTTAAACATTTTCATATTGCATACCAAAGAGAGTATTATTGGGGAAGACACCAAGATAACTACCATTAATAAAAAAAAAACATTATTAATGAAATCTCAATATTTACTCCACCAGCTCGATTCCCCTGAATAGCGCATCTCGTGTACCAATATTGTTTCTGAAACCAAATTGTGTGTTACCTAGAAGCTCCTCAATTTTGTTGTATATTCTTGTGTGAATTATTCTCAGGAATATTTTCAGGGCATGACTCATTAAGCTTATTGTTCTGTATTCGGTACACTTCTTTGCATTGGGGGGGGGATTGTCACAAAGGTTGATTTTAGCCAATCATTTGGTATCTTTCCTGTTTCATATATCCGATTGAAGAGCTGCAGTAAAAAATTCTTCCTATTGTCTTCCAGCAATTTTAAAATTTCTACTTGGTTATCATCAGGTCCTGTAACTTTTCTTGTTTTTGCTATTTTTATTGCATATTCAACCTCCTCCATTGTGATGTTTGGTCCAGTTGTTATACTTTCCATATCTACATCTTCCCTAGTGTCTTCAAAAAGTTCTTCAATATATTCCTTCCATATTTTTAGTTTTTCGTCCTCATCTAAAATAATTTCCCCCTCTTTGTCAACTAAGTTGTTGGTTTTCTTTTTGTAGAGGCCTGCTGCTTCTTTCACTTTTTTATGTAAATTGAAATTATCATGCATATGTTTTGTCTCTTCAATTTCCTTGCATCTCTTTGCAAACCACTTTTCTTTTGCCAGTCGAATTTTTCTTCTAATTGTTTTCTGCAATCCATTGTATTTTTCTTTTTTTTTATTTTTATAAGATCTTCTTTCATCCATGAGATGAAGAATTTCTTCTGTCATTCACTGTTGTTTCTTGTGGTACCCCTCTCTCTGTTTTGAATTTGTTACCTCTACTATTGCATTTTAAAATTTATTCCAGTTCACTTCTACATCTTATCATTCAGGTTGTTGGTTTCTCTTAAATGATTTTCTAGTTCTTCTTTTATCTTACCTCCATGTTTAATGATGAAGTCTCTGTCAATTCTTGGTTTAGCAGGATTCGGGTTTTTTATCCTTTTTAGTTTCAGCGAGAGTTCAGCAAGTAGTAGATTATGATCGGATGGTACATCTGCACCTGTGTATGTCTTTACTGATTTTACTGAGTTTCTAAATCTTTTGTTTATTGTAAAATAGTCAGTTTGGTTCCTTACTATATTATTTCATGTATCTGCTGGTGATCTCAAAGTGTAGAGGCACCTTTTTGGCAACTTGAAAAAAGTATTCATCACACTTTGCCTATGTTCCTTGCAGAAGTCTACAAATCTGTCCCCTTTACCATTTCTGGTTCCTAAGCCAAAGTTTCCAACTACAGGCGCATCACTTCCTTCTCCCACTTTTGCATTGAAGTCTCCCCATGAGTATTGTGATATCATTACTTTTTAGGGTTTTCAGTACACTGCTTATATCTTCATACAACTTCTCTAAATTATCCTCATCACTGTCAGCTGTGGGAGTGTAAACTTGTATAACATTCATATTTACTGGAGTACTATTTATTTGGATCATCATCACTGTATCGGATACAGGAATAAAGGACTTGATACATTTATTTACAAGATTGTTTACAATTATAGCTACTCCATTTCGATGGTGTTTGCAATTCTCACCAGAGTAGTAGATAGTATAATCTCCTATTCTACACATTCCATTTTCAGGCCAGCACATTTCACTCACTCCCAATATAGAGATATTGTATTTGGACATTTCTTGGATAGTGTTGTGTGTTTTCCCAGCTTTGTATAGGCTTCTCAGATTCCATGAACCAATTTGTAGTTTTGGGTTTATCATGCTTCTAGCGGAACGGGAGATTCTTAGCACCCCTGCCCCATTTAAGGGGCACCCGTACTCGGGGCCATTGTTAGGTTTTGCCACCATTAACATGATTTTCCTGGGAAATATATAGTGTAGTAGTGTTCCCTTTGCTTTCTACACCACTGTGCACATGCTGTTCAAGTGGCTGCCATCACACCATGTGCTGTTCTTCTGAAGCCGTTCCAACCAATATGGCCTCTGCCTTCAGTCAATACTGGGGAGCCAGCTGCCACTCACCAGGCCCATTGGTCCATGGGAGGTATTTGATTCCCTCCATCCTGCCATTACAGCATAAAAGCCATAATGGGTAGGGCCCCCCAATCTGCCGCCTGGGAATGCGCTCTGTGGGGGTTCCAGGCTCTCCCTCAGAGTATTTTGTCTTACTGATAGGAAATTTCCCCTTAGTTCCAGGGTGAAGCTCTCCTTGATAAGGTCCCATTCATTACTTCTTTTTTAATTTTTTTAAAAAAAGTTTTATTAATTTCCCAGTTTTACATCCAAATAATTAGGAAGCAATGTGGTGATTGGGTAGTCAAAAGTCTAATAACAAAATCTTTTGTACACATGTCAGGTTACATTGTCAAAATTTCCCTATTTCCCTTAATTACTATATCACAATGAAATTAATACATTTCTAATTATAACAAAATCAATTAAAACATTTATCAATATATTTTTACTTATACTTATCATGTCCTGTTTTTGAATTTTACCTAATTTCAATTACAGTGCTCCAATTTAGCCTTTAAGATCCACAATATTTAGCTTTCGGGTAACCGAAATTTCTCCTATTTCATTACATAGTAGTTATCATACCTAAAATGCACATATTGTTTAGTTAAATACATTCTTATCTTATTTCACAAATGTATTTCACAAATATATTCTATTTCTCATCATCACTTACTAACACATAATATCCTTTATGTCTCAATCCAACTTCCATATTATAATTCAAAACTATATTCTAATAGATCTAAATCCTAAATATTAAATCAATTAATATCTTTTAAAGTCTCCTCTTAACCCATTATGTAAAGTTTTAGGCTCTTCCATTGTAAATCAAAGAAGACCCATTTTTTAAGTCTATCTCTAGCTTTCTTTTTGTGCCAAGCAGGCTTCCATACCAGTGCCTTTAAATCCTCAAGTGACTCTCCCTTCATTCCTACACATATTATTTGAGTGAAGGAAGACCATCCAGTTAACAATTTTTCAAAGGAACTGGCCCCTTTGTGATCATTAAAATGTTGTTCAAATAGTTCAAATCTCCATGTTTGGTTCAGTGTATTTGTCGTCAGTTCAATCTGGTCTTCTTCTTCTTCTGGTTTCATCTGACTTGAGTAAGAGATCATGTCCAGTGTTGTAATTGTTACTTGATTGTCTAAATTCTCAGTATGCTGTACTTGTAAGTCTTTAGGACCCTCTATCTTAGTATTGCTTTCTTCAGCTTGTGTTGTTTTTTGAGTTGTAGATTTTAGTTAGAATCAAGATTTGGCTATCAAAGTTCTCAGTAAATTGTACTTGTTCTGTAGAGTCCTCTGTCTTGATATTAGTTTCTTCCTCTTCTGCTGTTTTTTGGATTGTAGGTTCATCAGTTGGAATCAGGGCTTCATTTTGTAGATTTAGGCTGGCCCCTTTGTCTTTCAGTCTGGAATTCATTAGCTCAGTAGCTTCAAGGATTTTTTTTGAAGTATAAGCTTATAGTTAAGTTATGGGTAGTATTCCTCCATTTCTAAGGTATTTACAGATAGTTCTTTAGTGGAGGCTGTTTTTAATAAGAGTCAAAGAATGTTCACCTCCACTATTTCTAGAAGTGGTTTTCACAGCTGTTTCAGGAAAAGAAAATTTCAAAATACTCCCACAGGAAAGTAGTTGGGGACATAAGAAGGGTAAGGTCTCACCCAAATCCTCCGCATTATTTTTGTTGTGCTTGGTTGTAATTTTGCTTTCATCTGGAAACAGCTTAGTGATTGGCCATGTTGATGGTGGATCTTTTCTTCATCAGTTCAAAGAAGCTGCTCCAGATCACACAAAGGGGCTGCCACCCCTCCGCGATCAGTCGGCGGGCTTCCTCACAATCGTTGCCCCTCCAGGGTGACTTTCAACCCATTTCAGGGTCTCCCAATGTAGAAAAACGGGATGGTGAAGAGAGAGCTCTCCACCAGCACTGCGAGCGCAAACCGGAAGCCCAGTTTCCATTCATTAGTTCTTGTTCTGCCCTCAGCTGCTTTGGAAAATTGGTTGACTCTCCTCTTCTCTGTGATAGTCTTTCAAATATTGGAAGGCTGCTCTCATGTCACCCACAGTCCTTTTCTTTGTCAGATTAGATTTACACAGTTCCTGCAACATTCATCATATATTTTAACCTCCAGCCACCTAATCATCATTGTTGTTCTTCCACACTATTTCTAGAATCTCAACCTTTTTTTTTTTGTATCATAGGAGTCTTACCAAAGCAGTATAAAGTGGTACTATGACTTCCTGTGACCTTGATACTATCCTCTTTATCCTTCTGTTGATGCAGCCTTGGACTAAATTGGAATTTTTGGCACCTGGACCTTATTGGTGGCTCATTTTTAAATGGTTGTCCACTAGGGGTCTCTTAGATCATTCTCACAGTTAGAACTGTTGAATTTAATCACTTTTTGGGAATATTTATTTATTTTACATATTGATGACATTGACCCTTTTGACCAGAAAATTTAGTAAGTGGATTTCTGAATTCTTAAGAGATAGTGTAAATTTGATTTTAAAAGTTTTAAAATCTATCCAGCAGATGAATTCCTAAGCAACCATTCCATTCCATTATTCTATTCTGTTCTGTTTTACCTCTTGTTTGGAAGAAATGCTGAACGTAAATTCTCTTTCATGGAATTTAAGGCTTGGCTGATGACAAAACACATTTTTCTCTATGGCATTGGATTGCCACATAGTTAAAATATTTATTTTTGAAAATTAATAATGGATTAAGAAGTCAGAGGGATTTGGAATTATAATTTTGAATAATTTAAAACAGAGGTTCCCAACTCCCACACCATGGACTATTACTGGTCCACAAGTCCATTAAGAACTGGGTTGTGCAAGCAAATGAAGCTTCAACTGCAGATGCACAGGATCTACTTACTGTGTGAAACCACATACACACTGGTCCATGGAAAAATGCTTTTCCACGCTCCCTGAGTGCCCAAAAGATGGGTCCCACTGACCCATCTAGAAGAAAACATTTACTCATGAAGAAATGGAAATTGCTTTCATTTTTGCTTTGTTTTGAAGGCTGGACACCAAAGGCAGAGGATAAAGAAAATGAAGTGGAAATTCTTACCACAAACTTTGAAAAACCTGTCCGTTTTTGGACAGGATGAATGAAATGCTTGGTAAAATTGATGGAGCATGCTTTAATGAAGCTTTGTAACAAGAATGAGCTGCAAAGAATTTTAAAATTATATTTCACAATTTAGCTTGTTTTCTCTTCAGGTCTTGTTTTTGCTCATGGCGACAACTGGAAAGTGATGCGACGGTTCACATTATCCACATTACGGGAACACGGAATGGGAAGGAAGACCATTGAAGACAAAATCACAGAAGAGTGTAGTGTCTTAACAAAGACAATTGAGGCTTATGAAGGTGGGTTGGCATTTGCTCCTAATGCTCTACTGAAGCATCTTCTGAGATAAATGTAGTGTGGGAAATAATTTCCTCAGATTATATCAAATAAACAAGGAGTGTTTTAGGGGATACTTTCTCTCCAACAATTCTTAATCCATTGTTTTCTTCCTATAACTATGTTTTCTTGGCCAATTTTTGCTAAGTATATTTACAGAAATGTGACTTATGAATAGCAAAATGGTTCCAGAGGGCTTCAATAGTTAATTCAGTGTAATACAACAATCTCTCATCAATAACACTTCTAGATTTACATTGTCTGTAGAGATTCCTCTAGTTCCCTATGTAGAGCGGGTTGCAAGTCCTTCATCTGAGCATGAAAATTTGGGTCAAGGATAATCAAATGGTAGTTCCTCAAAGAATGAAAAGATATAATCTAAATTTATTAAGCGAGCTAGAGAAAACTTATTTTACCCATGTCCCCCAACAGAAGTATTATTGTTGAATTGTCAGTATGGAATCCCACCTTATTTTTAGCATAGTCATAAGGATCAAGCTCAAATGGTGCACCTACCCAGGAGCACAACTCACAGGTAGCTAAAGTAGAAGGAATCTCGTATTTTCCAAAATATTAGTTGTTAAAGCTCTACAAATGTGTCTAGCACACAATATCTGGGTTGTGAACATCTGGATAATCAAGGGATAGCAGAAGGATACACAAAGTTCTTATCATCTGCATTTTTGCAACCCAGAAATGAAATGGATATAATTGACTTGAAGAAAAAGCAATAAGAGAGGTATGTGATATAAAAATAATCTAGAAAACTAAAAGTTCCTTGTCTAACTGCCAAATGAGTTTTATTTTATGGAGCATGCCAATATAGCTACAAACTCAGCATTGCAATAAAGAAAGGCATGCAGTATCTAGTTAATTAAGCATTATATAAGAATCAAAGTGTATATATGCATCTGCCTTCCAGGGTAAAAATTCTAGTCTTTTCCTTTTACCATTCTGAGTGAATGGTATTTTGGCTGTTCTGTTCTCAGATTTGAGAGTGGGAACTGGCTGCTGTGTTATCTTAATCATTCTGTCCTGCCTTTGGGAACTATTGGTTAGACACAACCGTAAATATCTGCATGGAGATCTAGTAATATTTCCTCCTATATAGTATACCTACTTTTCCTTCCTTCATTTTATGAAGCTCAGTAGCTATTTTATTTTTAAAACTGCAGTCACTTAATGAGGAAGCATCACAATAGCTTTGCCAGGTATTTTATCCTCAAGGAGTTCCAAGAAATCATCACCATGTATGGTCAGATACTGCAATTTTTTCTCTGGGATAATGAACTACCCTTTAAATACTTTCACATATTTTTTAATCTAAACACTTCCAATGTCAAAAGCTCTACCTATGGCCTTTTATGATAAATGCTCCCTTTATCTAAACTGATTTTATGTATTAATGCAATGAAAAGCAGATTTAATCCTGGTTTTATTTACAGTTCTCTTTTGATCTATCGTTTGTTGCTCAGGAAAACCCTTTGATGTCACAACAATTCTGACTGCTGCTGTTTCCAACATCATCATTTCTATCCTACTCGGGAAACGCTATGAATATAATGATGCCAAATTTCTACAACTACTGAAGGCAAACAGTGAAAATTTTCAACTTTCAGGAAGCCCTGCTATATTGGTAAACTAAACTTTAAAAAATGTCACAAAACAGGCAGCACAATGACTTAGATGAGGGACTGGAAGGGGAACACATCAAATTTGCAGATTACACTAAGCAGGTAGGAATAGCCAATATCCCAGAAGACAAGCTTAGGATCCAAAAAGATCTTGATATACTTGAACAATGGTTCCTATCAACAATTTAATATGGAGAAAAGCGAGGCTTTACACTTAAACCAAAGGTAGAAGTATAGATTAGGCAAAATCTGGCTCAAAAACAGTAACTGTGAGAAGGACCTTTGGAGTCCGAGTGGAAAATCACTTAAATATGAGTCAGCAGTGTGTGGCAGCAGCCAAAAAGGCTAATACAACCCTTGGTTCCATAAACAGGGGCATAGAATCAAAATCACATAAAGTATTAGTATCACTTCATAAAACCTTAGTAAGATCACAGCTGAAATACTGCATCCTGTTTTGGTCACCACATTACAAAAAAGATCTTAAGACTTTGGAAAAAGTGCAGAGAAGAGCAACTAAAATGATTAATGGCCTGGGGACTAAAACATATGAAGAACGGTTGCAGAAATTGGGTATGGCTAATCTAGAGAAAAGAAGGACTGTGGGGGAAGAGATGAAAGCAGTATTCCAGTATTTGAGGGCCTGCCACAAAGATAAGACAGTCAACTTATTTTCCAAAGCACCAGAAGGCAAGAGAAGAAACAATGGATGGAAACTAATCAAGGAGAGAAGCTACCTGGAATTAAGGAAAAACTTCCCAACAGTGAGAACAATTAACCAGTGGAACAGCTGTCTTCAGAAGCTGTGGAAACTTCATCACTGGATGTTTTTAAGAAAAGACTAGACAGTTACTTGTCTGAAATAGGGTCTCCTGCTTTAGCAGGGGTTGGACTAGAAGACCTTCAAAGTCCCTTCCAGCTATATTCTGATTGATTGATTAGGTGGTTGGTTCTCAAAGTTTAATTGAGAAGCAAAGCATGTTGCTTCTCCTGGGCATCTGTAACAAGATTACATCCAAAAACAACATGAAGATGATGACATCAGGATTCAAATCCTACCTTTATGTAGTTGCATGCAAACATTTCATGAAAGTATGGAAACCACTTTTTAATATCATGAACTCATGATGTGTGCTTCATCATTTCCTCTCCCTTCCTTGCAAAGACTTGTGAACACACTCAAATTGGAAAAGTGGGAGTCTTCATTGAAAATATCTTTTCATCTTTCATTTTCTTTATACAGTACTCTATACATGTACTAAATTGCTCCCTTGACAAGGACTTGCATTGAGTTTTTTGCATTGATGATTTACACCACTTGTTTGGAAATTAACACAATGTTACTACAGGAACTCATTCAATAGTATGATAGAAAATAAGCACTCTCTCTCTCAAAACCTGTGTGGAGGTTCAGTCCAGGGGATTTGGGGCTTAGTGAATTAGCAATATTGACTATTCAAAGCTCATTCAGTCAGTCATGTGATCTTACTCATTATTGTAGGGTTTTGTTTTGTTTTGTAGACTTGGGGAACATAAACATGTTTTAAATGTCCATGTAAGAAATTCAAAGTATTCAACTTTCATAATATATGTTTTCTTTTATCATTCTTTCAGCTATATAATTTGTTTCCCATGTTGGGGTTCCTTTTCGCTACTCCTAAATCAATGATAAAGAATCAAAGTAAAATTCATGATTTCATACAGACCATCCTCAAACAATATTTACAAGATCTTGATGAAAACGACCAGAGCAATTTGATTGAATCATTTCTTGTTCGGCAAAGAGAAGTAATGAATTATTTTATATGTATGTGCAATTACATTTTTTTTTTACATAATTTAAAAATTTGCCTCCATAGAAATTATCTGCTGGTTGGTTAAGGTCCTTGTTTCAGAAATATAGAAGGAAACACATTTTTTAGTCATTCCCTGTGCATTACTTTATTCAGAATCTGCAGCTGCTTAGAACTACACTACAGATGGATTTTTTTCTTCATTAAAAACTCCATAAATATTAACCATTTTCTGGAGGAGTGGATCCAAGCAGCGGTGGGAATAGGTGATCTCTTGGTGCCAATGGTTTTTTTTATGTATAATTGTTTGATATTAGAGTTTTTCTTCTAAGAATCCAGTAATGTTGGGGCAGCTGAAGCCATTAGGAGAAGATATTAACCACATAGGAAGACTTCGTGGACCCCAGGAATATTGGTTATGTGAGTAGATTGTGTTTCCTTACTTGTATTTTCTTTATATACTTCAGGAAAATATGAAGATGAAAAATGATGGATATTTCCGTAATGAAAACCTTATGGGTCTCGTAGATGACTTATTTGGTGCTGGTACAGAAACAATAGCAAACACTATGTGCTGGGCGATACTCCTAATGATGAAGTATCCAGAAATTCAGAGTAAGCACTTTCATTTCATTGACTTCCAATAAAAATATAAACATGATTGAAAAAGAATTGTTGGCAACTAGAATGTTACTTGAATAAAGGGAAAGAGAAAAACCAAGAATAAATTGCCTGTCAGATAGACAAAGCAACACTGATAAGGTAAATTGGCCTCACAAATGAAAATGAGTTTTAATAAAACCTTTAAAGCTGAGAGTGTTTATTTGTAAGAGGAGGTGGAGTCAGCTCTAGCTTCACCGAAGGGGAATGTGGAGGGTGGGGGGAGAGGAGAGGAAAGGAGATCAAGCAGGCTGGCCATGAGCCGGTCTACAACTTCTGTGGCAGCCACTTGTGCTGGCAGCAACAAACAGGCAAGAAATGCAGCAGGGGAGGGGTTGCCCTCCAGAAGGAATGAAGAAAGGTAGCATCAGATGGAGGTGAGACAGGGAGGGAGATGGAGAATGGAAGGATTTTTATGTCCTTTTGTGACTTTGAAGTTCTGGGATTTGTGCAGTGAGGGCTTTGTGTTCTTAAGGAGTGTTTGGCAATTTCTGTTTGGCTGATGGCTGATGTTGAGTCCTCAGCTAATGGCAATAATTTCACGAAGCATTTAGTAGTTCTCAGGAGCCTCTTTATTGTTGTTCAGCAGCCCTGTTACAATGCCGAGGCACGCAAGCCTCTCTCCTTCTCTTAAAGACAATCCCCGGGCCAAACTGCAACATTTGGCATGCTTTGCACTTTACGCATGTGCTTGAGTGCTGGCGCCAGCCAGTCTGGTCCCGGGCAGCTTGCAACTGCCCGGGACTGTTGCAACCTCCCGAGCCTGCCTTTGCAGGCTCAGGTCACAACACCCCTTTCCCCCCGGCTAAAACTACAACTACATTAATAGTTACATGCGACCTCAACACGAGCGTGGGAGCCACACTAGCTCCATGGTACCAAGCTGTAATATTTTGGGCTTCATTTCCCATCGTTCCTTATTCCAACCTTTCACAGGAATACCTTCTTACCGTTTCTTCTTTGCCAGCAGAGTTACAAAATCTTCAAGATATTTAGGAGATCTTTTAGCTCTCTGTGACCTCCGAATTCCCTGGCAACCTCCAAGCACATCTTGTCCAGAGGGTGTTATGTGTTCACCCCCTTCCTTTGACCCTGGTGGTCCCCATGGACCGTGCCCCATTGCCTGGCCTGCTTGCTTGCCCACCGGGCTCGTCAGGCCAGGACTTTGTTCTCTCCATAACCTGGTTGATCTGCCTAGTTGCAGGCTCTCTGGCCCTTCTAGAAGGCTGCCACTGTTGGACAACTCTGTAGAGCCTCCCAGGTCTATCCTAGACCTATCATGAGGCTGCCTTCCTCCACTTCCCAGTTCCATAGCTGGAATCTCAGTACTGTCCCCAAACTCAGTTGCCCCCTCTGTTATGCCGGAGGTGTCAGAATTGGGATTCGGCCCTCCGACCACCTCCCTATGTAAATGCCCCTTTCTGGAAACAGTGGCAGTGTTGGGCCAACTAGACGGAGTAGCTCTCTTGCAAGGTGTGAGTTATTAGGATGCTCCCGGTTATTCTCCCTGACTGGAGTGCTGAATGGTGTTGGTGTGTAATGATTATGCCCCCGGGGTACCTCCCTGGCTGGAGTAGGCACTGGTGCCTGTGTTCTAGCTGGTTCCCACGAATTCCTGTTCGGAGCACTCATGGAATCTTGGAATGGGCCGTCTGTGGCCTCTCTGTTGGTGTCTGGCTGCTGCCCACACCCTTCCCTTTGCCCGTAGAGGTCCCTCTCCCCCCCAGAAAAGACCCAGGAGTCTCAGCAGGTGAGTCCAATCTCATACGCAGCTGGTTGATATGCCGTCGCAGGATACGACCGTCATCCAGGGAAACCTCGTAAGACAAGGGACCTGTAACCTTGCATACTATGGCAGGGACCCACAAGTGACCTGGCCCGTAATTATGGGTCCATACTGGGGCACCCACTAGCAATTGCCTTGGTGCCCTGGGTTGTGTAAACTTAGAAGGCAGTCTGTCCGGATGCAACCGGTCAAGCTTAGTAGTCAGTTTGCGCCCCCAGCAAAGTTCAGCCGGGCTCTTCCCAGTAGAAGTAGAAGGTGTGGTGTGGTAAGCAAGTAGAAAATCTGCCAACCTGTGATGCCAGTCCCCATATGTCAGTTTCTTTAAAGCATCCTTGGTGATGCGGACCATCCATTCAGCCATACCGTTGGTGGAAGGGTGGAAAGGTGCAGAGGTGGCATGACTAATCATGTTGGCCTGTAAGAAAGCTTGGAATTCGGAAGAAGTGAATTGAGGGCCATTGTCAGACACCAAAACATCCAGAAGCCCATGTGCAGCAAAAATCCCCTTCAGTACTTGAATAGTCTTTGCAGTGGTGGTGGAAGAGACAGGTACAACCTCATGCTATTTTGAATGGCTATCAACCAGGACCAAGAAGAATTGACCCTGTAAGGGCCCAGCATAATCAATGTGCACCCTAGACCATGGAGACTGTGTTTCCTCCCATCTATGCACAGGAGCCTGTGGCATTTCTGGGCGTGAGCGCTGACAAAGGTGGCATGCGTGCACCTTAGCCTCAATTTCCTTGTCTAACCCAGGCCACCACAAATGGCTGCGTGCAAGCGCCTTCATGCGTACAATGCCAGGATGACCCTCGTGAAGGGAACCTAAGACCCTAGACCTCATTGAGGTAGGAATGACAACTCTGCTGCCCCACAGCAGACAACCCTGGAAAGTGGATAACTCGTTCCTCTTAAGCCAGAAACTCTGAAACTCAGCGCCTGGCCATCCAGACAAAACCCAAGATAAGACATGAGAAAGTGTGAGATCTGTGGCAGATTCAGCAGCCACATCCCTGGCATTTAACGGTGACTCAGGCAATGCCTGAATTGAAAGGATGTTGATGGCAGGGGCAGGATCAGCCTCTACTACTTGCAGGGGTAATCTACTGAGGCCATCAGCATAGCCCATTTCTTTCCCAGGTTTGTGAATTAGAGAAAAATCATAGGCTGACAGAAAGATTGACCATCTCAGCATTCTGGGGGAGATGATATGGGGAGTTTGTTTGTTTGTGGTAAACAGCCCCAACAAAGGCTTATGGTCAGTAAAGACCGTGAAATGTCTGCCATACAAAAAATCATGGAATTTTTTAATTCCAGCAACAACAGCTAAAGCCTCCCTGTCTATCTGGGCGTAGTTTCGCTCAGCAGAAGACAAGGTTCTGGAGTAATATGCAACAGGAACCTGAGTTCCATCCGGCCTAAGGTGGCTGAGTACTGCTCCCACCCCATACGGAGAAGCATCACAAGCGATGCACACAGGAAGAGTTTCATTAAAATGTGCAAGCACATTGTTAGATGTGAGTAAGGCCTTAACCTCATTGAAGCTTGCTTCATGTGTTTGTGACCACTGCCACACTGCCTGTTTGTCCAGAAGCCTATGAAGTGGTTCAGCTACATTAGCCTTGTTAGGAATGAATGAATTATAGAAATTCAAAAGGCCCAGAAAAGCTTGTAGTTCGGTCTTGGACTTAGGCCTAGGAGCATGCATGATAGCCTTTAATTTGGACTCAGCAGGATGAATTCCATTGGCATCAATGTAGAATCCCAGAAAATCTGTGGAAGGCACCCCAATTTTACATTTGTCCTTCTTGAGTTTGAGGCCCGTTTTCTGGAACTGCAGCAGAACAGCCCTCAATCTCTTGGCTAAATTTTGAGTAGAATCTCCAGCAATTAAGACATCATCAAAATAGGGGCAAAACCCTGGTATACCCCTCAGTGTGTTTTCCATTATGCTTTGGAAAATTCCAGGAGCCACATTTACTTCAAACTGTAGCCTTTTTACTTTGAATGCCCCCCTGTGGGTTACAATGGTTTGTGCTACTGCAGCAGCTTCATCAACAGGCAACTGTTGATAAGCCTGAGCTAGGTCAAGCTTTGCAAAAACACGCCCCCCCTTGAGGGAGGCCAGGATATGACTGACTACAGGTACAGGATAGGCATGTTGCTGCAATGCCTTATTCAGAGTGCATTTGTAATCTGCACAGATGCGAATGTCCCCATTAGCCTTAAGAGGCGTGACTATGGGGGTCTCCCAAGGACTGGAATCAACAGGTTCTAAAACTCCTTGCTGAATCAATTTGTCCAATTCAGTATCAATTTTCCCTTTTAAAGCAAAAGGAACCCTTCTTGCTTTTACTCTAACAGGAGTGACAGTGGGATCTAGTTTTAAGGACACAGGGGGCCCTTTGTATGTGCCCAGCTGTGGGCTGAAAACATCTGCAAATTCTTTGCAGACTTCCTGTAGATCTACTGTTTGCAAGCTATTGAGCCCTGTAACATGTATTCCCAAGGCCTCAAACCAATCGAGTCCTATGAGACTCGTTCGCTCACCCCCCACTATCAATACATCTAATGGACCTTCAAAATCGTTATACTGTACGTTAAGGGTGGCCTCCCCCTTAACACACACTCTGGAGTTTTGAAAGTCTGTTAACACAACATCAGAAGGCCTAAGCTTGGCCTGAAATCCACTACCAGAACAAATCTTTCTGAATGTGTGTATGGAAATGATTGAAAGTGCAGACCCAGTGTCCAGTTCCATGACCAATGGAACTCCTTGCAACTTCACTTTAAGTGACAGTTTCTTCTTGATAGGTTTGTGTGTGCCTGTCCTATAAATGCTTCTTCGTGAAGCACAGAAACCCACCCTGTTTTGGCTGGGGACCCTGGTACCTTTCAGGCGCAATTCCTCTCGTGGTTGTACCTTCTGATGGCCCAGACACACAGCTGCAATGTGGCTTTGCTTTCCACATGCTCTACAGATAGCAGAGCAAAATCTGCAGTCGGTCCTCTTGTGGCGACCTCCACACCCGAAGCACTTGGGTACAGCTGAAGACTTTTCTTTGCCTTCCTTCTGCTTCCTTTCTTTGGCTGGGTAGAGACGGTATACTTCTTCATCAGGATCCTCTTCCGAGCTCCCTTGGACTCCCTCCTGGTGCACGGACACAGC